TATATATATCATTGAAAAAATGATATCGTACAGCCGTTATCAGAATAATAGACGAAAAAATTATATATTTTTTGTATTATATATATATATATATTATATATGTTATATACAAATATTATACATTTTTTCGGCTACCAAATGTAAATAGTTTCTGGCGCAGGTTAAAAGTTAAAAAAAATCCCTATATTATTGTACATACATGCAGTGTTTATCATTTCATTCTATTTCTTCATACGACTAAACCTATCCACATAGCAAAAATTAATTTAAATTGAAATAATTATTTCTAATTCTCATTCCATGAAAATCTATGTACTTATGTTTTATGGTACAACTTACATTTTTGGCAGCAGTGCTAAAAGCTTCACGGTGAGTAATATCAGGATTGCTTGCCTTTATCCTTTGGATCTCCTCCCTACACATTGAACATACGGCATCGTATTATATAGCAAACACACATCTTACGTACGTTACATGCTAGTTAAAATAATAAAATTGAACTTACTTGATAAATCTGTTGTAGGCGGAAGGAACACGTTGTCTTTTCTCTGGTGCTGCAACATGGTTTTTAAATGGAGTTAGGTAATAGCATAGTAACTTGTCTAAAAATAATGTAAATGAGCTTTAACTCTTTGACTCCGGCATGCATATATATAGCTGACCCAATTTATTTCGGATTGAAACGTAATTATTGTTATTAATGTTAAGCTATAAACAGCAAGGAGTCATAGCCTAACCTCCACCAATATGGTGGTCCTTTATTAAATTAAAAATAAAATAAAAGGTATCTATGGTTTAGGTAAAACTACGATATACTCCAAGATTCCAAAAATGCTGAGGAGAGATGTTGAGCTCGGAGGCGGAATCAGGATTTGAACTTTATGGGTTCGAAAGTATAATTATTTTAAGTTGTTGGGTTCTAAATTAACAAGTCGTACATATTCAATAAATTTCTTAAGACAAATACATGGTTTAAACAAAAATTACTGATTCGACCAAACCCGCATCTCGCACTCTACCTCTACCCCTATTTGAGCTAGCTCTAAACCTATTTATTCCAAGAAAAGACCTAAGAGAAAAAGGGGTGCAGCAGAGAATAGAGAAGTACTTAACCAATGTTTCTAGATACTTATTAAAGATGAATTGGATACAAGTGTAATGTCACAATCAACTTCAGATCCTAAGTAAATTAAAGCAGATAGTTCAGGCATCCATCCCAATTCACAACATGACAAGTGGCCTTTCTATTTGTACAGAATTCTTATTAAGGTGGATAAACTGCTTTTCTTTGAAGTTAAATTGATTTTGGTCCCCTATCGTGAAGGTAAACTTAGGCATAATTTTGTAAGACAAAGAAAGGTAGCTAGGTTTAAAACTCATACTCATATTCAGATTTAATTGCCTCGAACTCCTATTAAATAAAATCAAAATTGTACTCCTACATATTACTTTAAATTACTAGTACTATGAATCTTCTACTCCCTATGTCCCAATTTATTTGATGTATTTCAAATTTCAAGAGTCAAGTTTCTCAAATTTGACTATGAATTCAGATATAAAATCTAGTACCTCAAATATAATTTATATGTTTGGAAACTACCTCAAAAATACTACAAGTCATAATACTTAATAATTTAAAATATTTTTAAAGGCATACAAGAAAAATCGTGATCAAATTAAAGAAAAACTCATGTGACACTCAAAATCCGAAATGCATCAAATAAATTGGGACGGAAGGAAAATTTTGATAACAATACACACCTAGAAACTCTTTTTTTTATTTAAAAAAAAAAATGAAATACCGTCTATATTGACAGGGTTAAGCAGACCCTTACATTAGTATTAAAAAAAATTAAAAGAGTGTGAAAGCATCCGAAACTTTAAGGTTATGGATGGAATAATCCAAGACCCTTTAAGTTCTCTCGGATGCCTTCGTTTGGTACATAGGATAAGGATAATAATTTTGGGATAAAGTCTGGAATTAACTTTATCCTATGTTTGATTTGAGAATTTAATTAATAACGAGATATCTTTTACTACATTAAAATGATGGGATAAAAGGTGAGATAATTAATCCCATAATCTCACCATTGTACCAAACAATCGCTTAGATAACCATTGAGAGATAAGTGTACGTAGCATCCTCTAAGAAAAATGTCAGAATGAGCTATTCCGTTCAGATTACAAAACAATAGTGCTACTACTAAGCTAGGTGTCTGTCTCTATGACGACTTCATATCAATTCTAAGGGTAGGTAGGACAAGACATTCTATCAAGTCTCACTTAGGAATCTTATCCTCAAAATACAGTTAGATTTAATAATGTCTGGTAGTTAAACATGTTGGTGGGTTTCATTGGCGCGGCAAGGAAACACAGGAAATATAATATAAAAAGGACAGTCCGGTATACTAAGCTTTTGCTATACGTGAGATTCGGAAAAAGCCGGATCACCAGGGTCTATTGTACGCAACCTTACCCTGCATTTATGCAAGATGCTGTTTTCATGGATCGAACACATGACCTCCTGGTCACATAGCATACAACTTTACCAGTTACACTAAAGGTCCCTTCAGAAAATATAACATAAGATCAAAAGAAATTGAGAGAAAGAGCTTACGGCGTATAGGCATGGTTCTAGGTTGATCATCTTCAGGAGATGTACCAATGGCAGAAAATCTGTGATAATTGGTAGAAGAGGATGATCCAAAGGCTTTACTAGCATCTTCAATATTTGATCTCTGCTGCTTCTTTCAAGTAAATGAGAGCCATATATATGAGCATTAATTAATATGTCACTTCCCTCCCCTCCCTTACCCCAAAAAAACAAAAGATTAATTCAAGAAAGATAGACTAATTACTGACAGTTAAGTAGTGATGATTTACTAGTTTATGTAATTTGCATGCATTTATATTCATGTGGAGTATATAAGGCTGGACTCATTAAGGAAGAAAGCAGAAGATGAGAAACTAGGGACCTAAACTAAATGGATTTAACTTATACTCTGACTAAAATAATTTAACATTATTAGTATAATTTAGCTTGTTATACAACACTATTTCCCTAGTCTATACTCACTAACGGTGGAAATAAATATTTACGACATCCGTTCATATTCCAAAGATATCTACCGGTAACCCCTTCATAAAAAGCGAAATTTCTAATCTCGAAAATAAGGTAGGTTATCTGCTTCAATAGGTAAATATGATCTAATATTATAAATAATTTTTTATGTCATTAGTGTATATAAGCTAAACTCTTTAGGGGTTGTTTGATTTGCAAACAAGTTATAGCGTAATCATAATATGGGGGATTACAATGCGGGGATTGAATAATAATGAAATTATTTGGTGAATATACTTTTTTGAATAGATATTTGGCTCATTGAATTAAAAATAAAAACATGCATCTTTTAACCATAAGTGTCAAAAATATGTCTTCATTTCTTAAATTCTGTATAAAGTCAAAGTGTTATCACATAAAATAAGAGAGGGAGTAGAAAGTAAGTAAAAATTAGAACACTATTTCCACATTCTTGTTTGACCAAGAATTCCAAATGAAAGAGAACACAAACACCAAAAAGATTATGGACTAACTACTATTATACCTGTAGATCTTGAAGGGGGAGAGACTGAAGCAAAGATCCAATATTAACAGAAAGCAAATTTGCACAGTGTCCACACCTTACTGTCACTATTGTCATGATGCCGCTGCATGGAACGCTAACCTGACAACAATACATATTAACTCACACATGAACTAGAAAATCCATATGTTTGAGATGAATAATCTAGCTAGTTTATTTTTCTAATAGCTAAGACTTCATGAATAGAATGGAGTTTACAATAAAATGATGGAGTTTGTTAATGTAGCTTTCACAGTGCAAAAACACAAAGGCTCACATCTCCATCTCTCCTACTACTAAAATTAGTACAACTGCTGCTAAAAGGCTAAGATATCAGACTCTACAACATAATTCCCATTCCTTACATGGGTTATAACTATAAGCATCTTCTTTTAAAGGAACCTCTTGGACTCTCTTCCTTTTCTTTCCTTTTCCTTTCGGTGCTCTTGACTTTTTCTGACCTTTGCTCAGTCATTAGAAAAGTGAGAAAAGAGAGAGTACTGAACAAAGACAATGACATAACGAGAACAGAAATTATGAATTCCATAACGACTAAGAGGCAATTAAAATTCCTTTTTTTAAAATAAAATAAAAAAGAACACACACTACCCTCTTCATATTTCTTTTCAAAACAGAAGAAAGCGGCGAAAAGTTCGGTGCACAAAACATCTCGCGTTTACACAGGATCAGGGAAATGACCGCACCCCAGGAGTGTGATATAGACAATGTAATGCATACATTAGTTCTTTTCAAGTGGAATAACTACTCATTGTATATGCCCAAATTGAAAGGGTTTATCTAACTAGCCACGTTCCTAAGATAGGAAGAATAATAAATAAGAGAACTCTTTCTATCATTCTGATTTTCACAGAAACTAAAGTAGATTTTAATCAATGAGAAGAAAAAGATATGTTCTGAGTTGAGTATTATCCAATGGACAAATGAATAGTACGATAGACTGAAGGAAAAAAACCCACCCCATGATCTTTACTGTTTTATATTCAGGAAACGAATTTAATGGCATCGAAGATTAGAGTACACAATTATTTATGATCAGCCCAGAAGTACGAACCTAAGGGAAATTAAAAGAGGAGCAATAAATAGAAGAATTAAAAGGAAAAGTTAACCAATTAGTAAGCAAATCCAATTCTATCTTTGTACGAGTAACTAACTTGTTAAATAGTTAGTATTTAGTTGAGCTCTTGCAAATTCTATTCACAAGAACCCTATTAATTGATATAAGGATCAAATACTTTGCATCTGGTGAAAATAAAAAATCTTGGGTTTTTAGTCAACGTAAAGTATGATTACTGCCTGCCTATTAAATATATGAGTAATTCATAATCACGTTTTGGAATAAACTGGATCTCAGTTCATATTCCATTCCATTAACTTCCTAGTTTAAACTTTCCAACTGAAGAGAAGACCCCTAGAAAAGGAAACAAGGAAAAAGAAAAAAAAAAACTTGGTTTCAATTACTAGAAGAATAACATAAAATATGCAATTACATACTCCACTTTCAAGCAAATTCTCTCCAACCCTATAACACTTTTCTAGGCCTTGCTCTCAAAAAAAGACTTCATTTTACCATATATAATTTTGTAAATTCTCACAAGATTTGCCCTCACATAAAAAAAAAATCCAGAAAAAGGATCTGAACTATTATTATCATGAGTTTGGAAAATGGAGTTTTTTTTTTTTCTCATGATTTGATCTAAATTTTTGGCCAGCATGCACGGTAAATTTTTAAAAGGTTGTAAATTTGAGGGGAGGAACAAAATATTTCAAGAAATGAAATAAAAATGAAAAGTGTACCGCGAGAATGGTGTTGCAAAAGTTGCAGTGGACATAGCAAACACGTTCCGAGGAAGACGAATATGTTATGTCTAGAGACATTTATTTTTTGTTTTGTCCTTTTAACGTTGTTGGCCGGGAATCGCGGATCGACGAGGTAGATCAAGGAAAATAGAATCAAGAAAGAAGCTAAAGAAGAAGAAGAAGAGTTAGAGTTGAAGTGTCCAAATCAAGAAATATGAACATATGTAGTGTTTGATAGTATTAAATTATAGAAAAAGCTGAAAGATAAAAGTTAAAAAAGACAGGAAAAAAAGAAGTGTAAAGGGAAGAAAAACCTAGTAAGGAGGGATGATAAATATGGGTATGATTTTAGGGAGATGAATGAAAGCAAGGATACAAAAAAACACATATTAGAGGTGAAGAGATGGATGGGATGGGATTGGTCTGGTCGGTATTGGGGCAAAGTTAGGGGTGCTAGACGATTGATTTATTTAATTTATGTCTAAATAGGAATTGCAGTTAGAATAAATGTAGGAATAGACTTTCATGTTTCTAGTTGAAATAAATTTCATACTATTATAAATATGGGTATTGATAGCTTATTTTATGTGTGGAGGAAATAAAGAATTGTAGAGATCAATCAGAAATTTATAATAATATATTTTCCTTCATATTGGTATAAGAGCTTCTACGATCTTGGGAGAGAATCAAGTAGCTTCCGCTCTGCCGACGGGCGGCGCTAGCCAATGTGTGCCCCCGTATGGCCCAAAAAAAAATATGTTGGCAAAATCATAGATAGTTGTCGACAAAATTAGATTATTCGATGAAAAGTTTCATGATAGATTCAAGAAAGAAAAACAAGTTTAAAGAGGTGCAACAAATATGACACAAGATAAAGGCACTCTTCTTTAAAAGTTGGAGAGAGGTTTTAGAAAAAACATTGGAAGTTGATTACGTGTTTCGACAAAATTGGTTGTTGGTGACAAAGTGCATCAACGGTTGGTGACAAAGTGCATCTACGTGAGTTGGAGACAGGGGCTTCAACAAAATTGAGTGTTGGTGACAAAGTGCATCAACGATTGGCGACAAAGTGCATCAACGGTTGGTGACAAAGTGCATCAACGTGAGTTGGAGACATGCGCTTCAACAAAATCGAGGGATGAAGACATGCGTTTCATCAAAAGTGAAAGTTGGAGAGATGTGCTCCAACATAACTGTATAATGAACAAGTCAGACATATACAACTTTGAACTACGGGAGAATGTTGGAAAACTAATTCAAAGTTGTAGTAGGAAACCTTAATTATTTAGGATTTGGTTTATTTAATTCATGTCTAAATAGGAATTGCAGTTAGAATAAATGTAGGAATAGACTTTCATGTTTCTAGTTGAAATAAGTTTCATACTATTATAAATAAGGGTATTAATAGCTTATTTTATGTATGGAGGAAATAAAGAATTGTAGAGATCAATCAAAAATTTATAATAATATATATTCCTTCATTAAGTTTATGAATATTTACAGAAACTTTAAGTTAATATTTTAGTAATAACAGAGTTCATGATCAAATTAATATTTATACATGTATTGAATATCTTATTATATAAAGAATCTGAACAAAAACTACTAAGTTCATGAGTTTGTAATCAATATTACATCCGCCCCTAGGGTTATGCAACTTGGGGTGGGGGTGGGGGAGGATTGGAATGAAGGATGAGAAGTGAGTGAAGGAAATAGTGGGAGTACGGGATCCATAGTGGTATATGTGTGGTATTGTTGTCATGCATATCTATACGCAGTTAATTAATGGAGTATGCAAAAGTGGAGACGACCACCTTAACCAGAATAGTCCCATCGTTCACTTTTAATTATTACTTTGCACTCCTTTAAGAAAAAATAAATAATATATATATTTTATAATTTTAATCATAATAATGATAACATTTCAAAAAGTCTTGAGAAATGATTTTGGGAATGAATAGTTATTGATAAGGGTACAACATAATATATAAAAAATATTATCTTTTTCTTGATTTGCTAAAATGGACAAGTAAAAATGAAGATATATTTTTAGTATAGTAGACAAGTAAAAATGAATGGAGTAGTACTTTTCTAGGACAAAAAAAGAGTTTATTGTAACTACTTTTTTATAAAAGAGTGTAATATTGATACGCTATATAAAGAAAGCGTTTAACTTTTGTTACACAGAGAGCATAAAAGAATCTAAGACATTATATAAAAATAATTAGAAGTAACATAAGGCAAGTATGATCATGTTACTGATATTGCATTAAATATTTCCAGTGCGTATCGGTACGAGTTAAATAGTAAAAAGGAAAGTATAACTTTCAAATATAGAAAAGGTAAGTTTGGAGGATATGGGATTCTAGATTTTAGAGAGACTGGGGGACTGGATATTGGATTCTTTTACTGTGGGATGGGGGGGAGGGGGAAGGGGGTTGAGGG